CCGCCCCTTCCCCCACAGACTTACTTGTTGGGGGGACATGCCCCCAAATAATTTTTTCTCCCTCCACCTTGATCTGCTCCCCCCTTCCCTCCCCACAGACTGATCTGTGGAAGGTGGAAGCGGGGCAGCATAGGGTAGATCTTGGATTGCTTTTTAATTCAAAAAGTGATCTCCTACCCAAAAAGGTTGGAGACCACTGCTTTAAGTTAGTTAACAAAAATTTACTGTGTGGTGCAGAACTGAAGTAGTTCCATGTTTACTATTGCAGCTTTCCATTCTATTGCCTAAACTCTGAAACTATACTAGTTCTTCTGTCTACAGGGTTGAGGAGATTAGGGGTTCCTGTACTGTCATTGTATTCAGGTAGAATAACTATTAATAAAAAGGATCCTCAATTGGTGCTTATATGTTATGCAAATAAAAACAGTAAACCAAGTGTTTAAAATATGTCTTTGTTCAAAGGGTGACATTGGCTTGACAGGAAGACCAGGCCCTATTGGACCCCCTGGTCTTGGTGAACCAGGACTTCCGGTATGTGTTATTGATGTGTGAGGCAAATAGAGCCTAAGAGATTCCCTCTTAAGACTCATGTTAGTAAGTATATGGTATATTTGCATGCCAAACCAGTAGTCTAATGAAGGATGGGTAAGTGGGGCACAACCCCTGGCACTGCCTATGTGGGGGAAGAACTGACATGGAGCTAGGGGGAAGAGAGATGCCTTACCTTTGCATGCCTAACTTTCCTCTTCCTGCAACCTTAGGGGTTCAGCTCCAGTGGGAAAGCAATGGTGATGGTACAGAAGCATCTGTGAGTGAGTGAGTGAAGGGTTTTGCTGCCAAAACCTGGTGTTGTTTTGCCCACTTAGTGTAGATATCAGTGGCAAAAAATGGGGTGACATCTCTGCCCAGTAGCAGCAAACTTCAGCTGCTACTCTTGAGTTGCTGGCCACTGCTGGAGCCTCCAGAGCACAGCACTGCAAAGAAGGTACAGGGTGAAAAAGAGGAGGAGGGACTGGCCCCGGGCACAGTCCTGTTCAGTTATGCCTCCATTCTACAATATGCCATCTTATCCCACCCCCATACATGTGAAAATGATGATTGCTATGGGCATATTAAACTACTGTGAATTAAGTTGTGTTGTGAACTTACATGATGTCAACCAATAACTGGGATATATATGTCATAGGTTATGGTCACATGGGGAAATTACTCTAAGGTAAGCTAAGGTATAGGTTTACAGAGCATCAGCTACCCCACTAACGCAAGACAGTAGTGTAACAGGGGTGGGTGAATGGGGCAGTAGTCCTGGGCACTGATTTTACTGCTGCCCCAGATGCTACTGCTGCTTAGAGGACAGATCAGTGATGAAAGGTAGTTTGCCCTACTTTAATTGAAGAGTAAACTATATCACATTTACTGTGGGACAAGAATCTACACAAGGGTAGTTCCCAGGAGCAACTGATGACTGCTAAGTTTATACCCTAACTTAAGTCACAGGGACCTGCTTGTGACCCATGCCCTATGTCTTTCCTCTTCCTTGCTCATTTGAAGAATCTCTCTCCAATTCCTTATTGAAAATCTGGCTCAAATCTGAGAAGTAACAATGAAAAATGGCACTTTCGTATTCTAGAAACTCTGCTCTTTGGTGAAACTAAAGTCATATCTGTTAACTTTAGGAGTTTTACTGCTTTTTGCTTTTACTGCACTGCATCAACACAACTGAGAGAGGTAGATGGATTCCATTTGTTTGTATTATTCACAGAATTGTTTGTTATATTTCAACCTTTCCTACCTGTGCATGTTACAAGAGTTATTGTGGTTGCAGAGATGTCTCTGAGAAAGTAATTTGGCCAGCAAAACCCATATTAACCATAGTAATGAAGAAAAGAAAAAATAAATGTTCCCTTTTCATTGCTGAAGACAGTAGGCTTTTCTGCATCTTTAAAATTGAAAACAGTTCTGAAGCTGCACTCAGAACCCTTTCTCAGTACACTTGGTCTCAAGGCATCTTCTCCACTGAAGATGGGCTGGGGAACTCCCTTCTCGTCAGTGCAGAGGCAGAAAAGGATCTTGAAGTCATCATTGATGCCAAGATGAATATGGGCAGGCAATGTGGGGATGCAGTCAGGAAGGCCAACCACACCTTGTCATGCATCCACAGATGCATCTCAAGCAGGTCCAAGGAGGTGATACTCCCCCTCTGTGTGGCACTGGTCAGGCCACAGCTGGAGTACTGCATCCAGTTCTGGGCGCCGCACTTCAAGAGGGATGTGGACAACATGGAGAGGGTCCAGAGGAGGGCCACTCGCATGATCAGGGGACAGCAGGGCAGGCCCTACGAGGAGAGGCTACGGGACCTGAACCTGTTCAGTCTCCACAAGAGAAGGCTGAGGGGGGATCTTGTGGCCTGTTACAAACTAGTCAGAGGGGACCAGTAGGCATTGGGGGAGTCCCTGTTCCCCTGAGCACTACCAAGAGTGACTAGAAATAATGATCACAAGCTGGCAGAGGGTAAATTCAGACTAGACATCAGGAGGCGCTACTTCACTGTCAGGGTGGCTAGGATCTGGACCCAACTTCCAAGAGCAGTGGTGGTGGCTCCTACCCTGGAGGTCTTTAAGACAAGGCTTGACAATCACCTTGCTGGGGTTGTTTGACCTCAGTACTCTTTCCTGCCATGGTAGGGGGTTGGACTTGATGATCTGCTCAGGTCTCTTCTGACCCTACTAACTATGAAACTATGAAGTTCTGCAGTTCGTCATTCCATGCCTGCAGCTTTCCCAGGAATAAAGCTGAGACAAATAGAGGCTGGGAAACCAATTCTCTCTCTGTCTTTAAAACAGCTTTCTAAGTTTCTTAATGTTTGGTAAGCTCTGCTTCCACCAGCACTGTTTCAAAAAAGAAGAAATCATGAAAACATTTTGTTCATATCTCAGTTGCAGCCCGTTTCAGCTAAATCTTCCACAGGGTTCTGTGTGGAAGAAGGAAGATATAGCCTTTAATCTGGTTTGCTCTGTTTTGTCAGTACAGCATTTACACATATTAAATGACTTAATACTAATTTCCAAAATGTTTTGAAGATTAAGGAGGGAAGAATTAAAAAAGAAAACAGAAGGAATTTCAGCAATATAGTCAGTGACTCATAAGTTAACCACTGATACAATCTTGTATAACTTGTCATAGCTGCCGGCCAGAATGCTTAGTTGATTTACTGTGAATATCGTATTACTGTCATCTTTTTAGCAGGTTATAACCTGGCACCAAAATTCAAAGAGGTGCTTAAAGACAACACTGACACAGATTATTCTGCTATTGATTTGAATAGTTAATAGTTTTTCAGGTTGCTTTCATTTTATTTTAACAGGGGCCTCAAGGACCACAAGGCATTCAAGGAGAAAGAGGTTCACCAGGTGAAGGGCTTCCAGGACCAAAGGTACAGCAGCAGATGAGATATAGGGCCTGATTCTGATCTTATGTAAATCAGTGATCCGGTCTGTATGGACTTCAACAAGTCTGTGATAGTCAGTTATATTAGCCTGTACAGTAGCACTCTCAGGGCCAACTGACCTCTCGGTTAAACTAGTACAACTTCACTGAAGTCAGTGGATCCAGATTTGACCTTTAAAATGAGCAGGCCTCTAAAATAAGGCCCACAGAGCATGTATTCAAACTCTCCTGAACCCTTGGGAAATCTAAAATGAAAAGAATTTCCGTATTAAAGCAGTTGTTAGCATGTTACCATGCGATAAAGCCTTGAAAACATAAACTAATCTAAAGTAGTTCCTAGGGGAAATACTCTTCACTGGGTGCATCTACACAACATGCTGACTGTGCAGTAGCCTGATACTAATGCACAGTAACATTGCATGGCAAAAACCATAACACGATGCTACTGTGCAGTAGTATTAGGCTACTGTGCAGTAGTGTTACAAAAAAGGTGTTCACTGGCACTACTGTGCAGTAACTCAGGTCACTGTGCATTTATTTAGTACATGTTTATACAAGTACTAGATAAATGCACAGTAATGAATGTGCACTACAGTCTTGTGCAGATGCGGCCACTGATTCTTTTTTTTTTAATTTTAAACATGGATGCCTTTCCACTTGGACCTTCAGGGTTTGTGAAAATTTTGGCCACAGATCTCTGGGGTTTTTGAAGACCCATATGTTGGAAATGAAAGCAAGGCTTCCCAGGTTCCTGCTGTGAGCACTAGGATATAGTGAAACAGCTATGAATGCAGTGTTAATATCTAGATAAAAGGACAGAACTAAAAACATTGCTAAGTCTTATCCAAATAACAGCTTGAAGCTGAGCCAACTCCTAGGCTGAGGAGCTGGTATGACCTATGATGAGAGACAAGCAAATACTATCAAAGGCACAGTTTTCTAGATATGGGACTCAACAAGGGAATCCTGCATTCTAGTCTCTCTCCTGGATCCAGCTCCCTCATGGTCAACTTTGCTTTATTATCACTATTTTACAAATAGGTATTGATAGTTAACTATTGTCTGTAAAATAGGGGAACTGTAATGTTTATTATTTGCATAATGATCTATATGCACTAAAATTCTCCACATTGTACAAAACTTTTTAGTGCTTGGGGAAGCACATAATACACAAGTTCCACATGTATTTGGAAAATTAGTCTTGAAGTAATTTTTTAAAAATAGTAATAGCCATGTAAGCACCCAGACTTTAGCAGCTGGGTTCCTCTGATGCACCCATCAGAAGATGTAGAGTCCCTCTCTTCTGCATTTTCACATACTTCCTAGGGCTGATTCTGAGAAGATGGTAATATCATAAAGTAATTACATTTGCAAAAAAAATGTTTCAGGGACATGGTTTCAAATGTTAAGTGCTGATTTTTCTCCCTCTACTTACAAATTCTCTGCCAGTTTACTGAGCACAACTGGGTTTGATTTTATCCATTAATATCAGAGTAAGAATGTTCACTTAAATCCTCTCCATCTGACATATACCAGTATTTTAGGAGTTACTGTGCAAATTTCCTTATGCATCACAGTGGATATTGATAACTTACATTTACACAGCAACTTTTATCCATAAAGACAAAAAGGATTAATGAAAATATACTTAAGAATACAATCAGCAATCACCTGAACACCACTAAGATATAAATACCTGTGGGATGAAACAAAGCAGCTAGTTCAAGTGCACAGCAGCTCTATATAGCAGAATAGAGAAATAAGGAATACATTATCTAACAAACTGCAGAGGAAATTTAAACAAGCAGAATGGATATAATTACCCAAACTGGAATTTGGCCAGAACACTAGGGATATTAGCACTCCTGCTCTGACAAAAAATGTACAACATTTTCCTGCCAAATTTGGGATAAACTCAAACATGTATCAACAGAGTTGATATTTTTGCATAATTGCTAATCTTTTTACAAAGGGTTGCCAGGTGTGTCAGATCTCTGGCATTAAATCATGTCTGTTAGCAGATGATTTATTAATCTAAAATAAGTTATACAGTTGCTTCTTCCAGTACAGTGTGTTTGCTAGCAGATTGAAGTTCAGTCAGAAGGGAAATTAAAGCAGATGTCCTAAAGTATTAGGAGTAAGGAATGTCAAACAGGATTTTTTTAATTACATGCATGTAAGCAAAAGCTAAAATGGGGGATTTTCTTGCTGTAGAGAAGTTCCCCAGTATATTATCAGAGCTCCACTGACCTCAGTAGACTTCATTGGAACTTTGACATTTTATACCAGCTGCACATCTTCCTCTATGTGTTTTGATACCAGGAATACAAGAAAATTCAGTATTTTGTTCCTTATTATTAACCTGGTATTTACTGTCAGAGCTCAGTGTATAGTTGAATGTTGTTAAAATATATTATTTAGCCCTTATCTGTTCCTAGTCAGCTGTCTATTTTTATCACTAATGTTTGCCTACCATAGTGAGAAAGCCATTTACTACTATTAAATAATTATGTTAAAACAATGATACTCCATGAACTCAGGGCCAAAGCTATTATTCAGGCAAAACTCCCACTGAAGGTAGTGAGGGCCAAACCTTTTCTGTTACTTTATTTTGACTACTTCATGATTAAAATAAACAGAATTCAGCCCTCAGGAAGTGATGAGGCTCAACTCTGCTGACATTTTAAATCAATGAAAGTTTTGCCATTAATTTGAATGGGAGTAGGATTGGACCCAACATGCTTGAAATGGAAAGAAGGGCAAAAAAGAATGTGTTCAACTCTTTTGTTACCAGCCTCAAACTGAAGAGCGATCTCCTCTGAAAAGAAGACCTTTATCGTATACCAGGGAACAAAGAAATTCAGCCACCATCTTCGTGTTCTTCTAGCTTCAGCCGTTATGCTACCAACCATCTCTCTGTGCTAAATAGAATAAATAATCATGGATTGCTATAGCTGATATTACATATCTTTTATATGTAGGGAGACCGTGGTTTTGATGGTCCCAAAGGACCTCGTGGACTTCCAGGCATTGGCATAAGAGGTGAAAAGGTGAGCAGTAAATATGTCAGAGGATTAACAAAGTGCAAATGCCCCTGAATGCTGTGGGGGTAGATATTAGTTACAAAAGATGTAATGAAGCAAAATGAACCATTGTAGCAACAATAGTTTCTAGACAATACTGTATTTTGTGGAGAGATTTATGGCTAATAAATTGTTCCAACCTATTCTAACATCTCATCATAGTAAAACAGGAGACAGAACAAAAAGTGATTGATTCTGTGGGAAAGTTAAGTTCTAAAATGGAAAAAAGAGACTGTAACAGTTGTTTGCAGCAGCTGAACCAGCATGGGTTAAGACATATAAATGGGTTCTTTAGAAGATCTGGAGTCAGATCCCCAGCTGGTGTATGCTGAGGTAGCTCCAATGCCTTGGGAGGAACTATGCCAATATACGCCAGTTGAAAATCTGTCTCAGATTGCTTCTATAGCTTTACACAATTTTATAATTGTACTTTGTTCATCAGGGTGAAATTGGCCCTCCAGGTTTACCTGGGCCTATTGGGTTACCTGGCATTGGGATTCAAGGAGAAAAGGTGGGAGTTTATCTATCTATCTATCTATCTATCTATCTTAAATCTCTACAACTGGAAAAAAATATTTTATTTTAAAACATTAATTGTAAAATCCTTGCAGGGGGTAGTAGGCCCCAAAGGACCTCCAGGTCCAAGGGGACCACCAGGACAAGGGCTACCTGGATCAAAGGTAAGGACATTCACTGATGTAATGTTGCACTAGAAATCTCTATAGCTATGCCTGGCATTAAATGTCAGATAAGAAAAATAGGGTGTCATGATAGCTGTTATTAAAATATTGAAAGTAAACCTGAACATTGACTCAGCCATGATAAATAATTGCATTCCCATGTTTGTATTAGTGTCATTAAAAGAAATGGGAGACCCCAACCCATTGCAAAGCTTTGCTCAACCTGTTCTACTTTTATCCTACTGACTTCCTTTTACAGCCTTTCTCTATCATCACTCAACATGCCAGGCACCTACACCAGGTGCCACATCCTCCAGGTCTGCATAATAGGGGTTTTCTGTTTTCAGTTTCCTCACACCACTCACAGATTCTTTTAATCTCTGCCCATCTCTCTAGGAAGAATGACTTATGCTTGACAGAGAATATCACTAGTTCTTGGGCAGGAGTATTCCTCTTCCACACTTGGTTATACTCACTCTACAATAGCAGGAAATTTTCTTACATATTGCTTTGCCATTCTTCTTGCTGGTCACTCCTCTATATACACTTCATTTAGTAGTGCATATTACTGCATCTTACAGTGAAAAGCAGATTATGGGTTAAATTCAGATCACATTCTTGGGTGGCACAACTGAAGTCCAAAAGCATTTACCAAGGTTCACTTGTCTATAAAAGATGGTGAAAGAGGTACTTGGGACAAGACATTAAAACTATATTTTTTAAAAAATACAATTTTTGAGTAATGAATATGAAATATTACCCCCAATTCTGAACACATGGAGGCCATTGGGGTTTTTTTATGGGCTTCAGAGCCATAAATGCTTTAGGGATCACCATCAGGTAAAGAAAACTAACTAGAGATCTTTGGTGTGTGTTGATTTGTAGTGATTAAGAATAGGCTTATACTTTATTTATGCTACAAAGAGGTAGAAGAAAAAAGTGTATAGGGATGCTAGGTATTTTGTTGCAATGTCAGCTAGTTTGTAGCAGAAGTTTCATGGAAATGTAGTAATTATGGACTTATAGCTCTTCTTATTGCCTGAGAAACAACACTAAAATTAGTGCACTGGATATTTTAGTCCCTTAGATCAAAACTATGAAGTCAGGACTTCAAATAATTATTTTTATTACATTAAATGCTTTGTGTAAATGCTGCAAGAAAAAGGTATTTGTGTCTTTCTGATGTTAAAACTCTTCCTGTAAACCTGTTGTACTTAAGGGTGAACAAGGCTTGCCAGGAGAAACTGGAGCTCCAGGAGAAAGAGGTATTGGAGAACCTGGTTCCAAGGTATGGTGTTAATAATGGATCTTTCTGGAGGTTTGCGGGGAGCTTGGTAAATGTCCTAAGTTTCTTGGCACATTTGAACCTTCCCACCACCCCTTCCCTTAGTCACTTATGTATGGACTCAGAAGCCACATCCACATGAGTGGGGGCATGTGTTTGCAGCAGCACAAACAGCAGCGGCACAAATTTGGGCCACTACTCTGCTGCAGTGCATGCCCCTGATCATGTGGTTTGCAGCGGGACACATTGTTCCACTGCTTCATGTGCTGCAGGAGGGGCTGGCTGGGGCACAGGGTGCCTCAGTGTGGAGCTAGCCAGCAGGCAACCCCCACGACGGGGCACCCTGTGCTCCTGTGCCCCAGCCAGCCCAATGTGTGGAGACAGGAGAACTGTCAGCCCCATTTCCTCATGCTGCAAGATCAGAAATCATCAGTATAAATATTTTTCTAGAAAGAAAAAATGCATTTTTGGATCCTTTCTGAAGAACATTTTCCTGATTGCAGGGGATTATACTTTTCCAATTTATATTTTCTTTTTTCTTTTTATAGAAAATATAGAGTTGGGTTTTGTTTATTTATTTATTGCAGGGTGAACCAGGGTCTTCAGGCCTGGCAGGTTTGCCTGGTCTTCCAGGGGAAGATGGTGCCCCAGGACAAAAGGTCTGTTGGTTTCTTTGTCTCCACTTCCCATTTCTTCCTTAGCTCACTTACTGCCTGCCTCATGCAGATACCATCATTCAGCAGAAGAGTCCATGAAAAGGGGGGTGTTACTTGACTTTGGTTAGAACTTTTCAGTCAACCCTCACATGAATATTAGGCAACCTTTCCCACAGAAACAGGTACAGCCATTTGGGGGCATCTGAATGCGAGATTTTTTCGGGGACTTTGTAAGCATTTAAGTTGGGTTGAGCAGTCATTTCTGAGCTTACAAACTTTTATTGCACTGTGCTTGCAAGATGTGGGATAAGGCAGCTTTGGGCCAGGGACTGTTGATTTAATTTAGAGTAGTGTTTCCCAACCAGTGTGCCATGGCACAGAAGTATGCCATCAGAAATAAACAGGTGTGCCACGGAATTTTGCGATGGCAATAAGCTACAGTAGGTATGAGGGTGGGGAATACCTTAACAGGTGTGCCACAGAAAATTTTTATTAATGTAAGTGTGCCTTGGGCTGGAAAAGGTTGGGAAACACTGATTTAGAGACTCTGAGAGTTATGTTAACTTACAGCAGCAAGCTCAGGCTGCCCTGCTGGCTACAGAATTCCCCAGAGTCTCTGCAGTGCTATGCACTGTGGCCAACTCTTGATGCATCCTTCTGATCCTGTCCATGGCAACTGGTGGTAATTATGGACCAAGACCAGAGAGTGGGTCCTTAGAGGACAGCTTTTAGGGTGCTCTTAGCAATGCCTGTACCAAACTAATTCTTCTGCAATTGGACAGGAGGATTTCAGGTCAATATATGCCACTCTGCACTTTTTTATGTGCCATAAAGAGGTTTGAATAGGGGTGTAAATCTTGTTTATGTGCAACCTCTTTTGAAGCTATATTTTACTCGAAGCAAGGCTGGATTTGCTGCTGGATATATATACTTCCTGTGACACAAGAAAGGACTTTTACCTTCAGCCCTAGACAAAAAAATAAAATTACAACTACATTCAAATGTTGATCTTATTTTTTTTCCATTGCAGGGGGAGCCAGGACTATCTGGTCCTCGAGGACCTGAGGGTACTCCAGGGATCGGAATACAGGGTGAGAAGGTCAGAATTCCTCATTAAAGCTAATAAAAACATTAATAAAAACAGTGCTTGAAGAATACATTTCTCAATCTTCCCCATCTTGTTGGACTATAAATATATATCTACCTTCACTTTTTTGAACGACTTTAGGAATGTCTGTGAAAGCATCTGACTGCTGAATTAGTTTCAATCTCAGCCTCTAAAAACACAAAGGAGCAAAGTTAATCAAAGAGTATTGAAATTACATTTTCTGTTGATAAAAATTGTGGAGCTGGGTTGCCTAACAGTCACGTGGCAACATAATACTCTGCTATACACAAGCTCTTCATTCTGTGGAGATGCAAAAATGTCAGTTCTCAGTGGAACTGCTATTCAAATAAGTAAAGATTGCTGAGAATATGGACAAGCATACCTTTTAGCTGCTTCAAAAGGGATGGGAAGCTGCTATTCAGGAGAACACAAGTGCTGCTATGATCTAACTTTTGTATCTGGATTATTCAGAAGCAGTACAAATTAATTAACTCACCTTCATTTTGACCTTGAATAAAGCAGAATTAAGGCTGGAGAGCTTTTGCCGAACTTATATTGCTACAGAATCATGGACATGTACCAGCTGCATCATAACAGCTTATGTTGGATACCAATGAAGTTTATACCCTGAATATATGCCTGCATTATTGGACCTACAGTTGGGTTTCTAGGTTTGGTTCTAGGTCTGAAATCCCTCTGGAATGCCTATTAATTCCTCTGGGCATCTGAAAGAAAATGTTAAAAGGGACTGGAAAGAGCCCTTTACAGATAGATTTAGGATTGCTGTAGCAAGAAGCTACAAGGGGTAAAGGAAAGTGAAAGCAGAAAAATTAGGATACCCAAGGTAGGTTCAAAAGATTCCGCCTGTAGGAAGTATACTCAAGTGGCATTTTATAGGATAGAGGGTGTACTGTCCTGATGTTGGGACAGTAATTGGGTGATACCAGACTTTCAGATGCTTAGTTTTGAACTACTGTCTAGTTGGGTATCTTATCATTATGACTATATTGTAAGAATTTGTTGAATTATAGTTATCTCTGTACAAACTTAGCTCTATTTTAAGATTATTCTGTCTAGAAGTATGCAAACAGATTAACTGGGAGGGCATTTTTCTTATTAATTATTCCTGACAGAAGGAACATTTTTGCTACAAATATGGTATATTTGCCTTTTAATACAAAATGACTTTTCAGCAACTTACTAATATTTGTTATTAAAATTCTTTCTTGCAAATAATGTATTTATTTGATTCCTTGACTTGGTGCCTGCAAGCAAACTCTTTTAGGATCTGATTCTTTTCACAGTGGTTTTACTATAATGTAAGTCTGTTGAAATCCATGAAGTGACACCTGATTTACACAATTGAAACAAGAAAAATTGTGCTCATTGTCTTCAGTTGGAACTAAATTAAATGACTTCCTATTGAAGTTAATATGAACTGTTCATACGCAACAGCTACAGGATAGCATTTTGCTGTTTTGTTAATGTTTACAAGAAATTGCACAGATGTTTTTGTTAAATGTATAAAATTAAATGTATAACAATTGTTTTTTAAAAAATTCTTGTAGGGTGACCAAGGTCAGAGGGGTGTACGTGGATTAGCAGGACCAGCAGGAACCCCTGGGCCAGCAGGAGCTAAAGTATTTTTTTTTGTACTATGTCTGTAGAAGAGAGGTCTTGCTCAGGTCAAAGCACTGGTTTGTTCTATTTAACAGAAAGAATGGCAGTGGAATGTACTTGCTTCTGCAAGAAATAAGAGTGATCAGAAATTCCCTCAGTAAATTCTTCCTACATAGACACATCCATATGCACACATGTATTGAAACCAATCACATTATTTTGCTTGAAGCCTGGGAATAAAAATTCTATTGATGTTATTCCTCTATTTAAATACTTGGTAAACATTTGGGTAGTGTGATAACAGGACCATATAAGTATCCACATAGAAACTGAACTGATGACAGGACAATAACTGTTATTTACACTTGTTTTGATTATCTTACTGAAAGTGAGATGAGACTCTAGCTTGTCATTTCTGTCTACTTTGTGTCTCCCCTTAAGGTTTTTTTAACTGTTTTACAGATAGAAAGGGAGGGGGAAATGGTAAAATATGGAGAAAAGAGCAAGCAGTATGTATTTTGAAATGGAAATAGGTGAAGTACTTTAAGACAAGACCAGTGGCTGTATTTCTTATTGTTCAATAGGCTCTAAGAAGAGTTCAATCTAAAGTCCATTGTGACTCTTCCTACCCTGAGAATTTTCTAAGAGTGAATTTTGCACAATAAATTAAAAATAAGAATTTAAACAAGCACAATTTCACTAGTTAAAATCTTTCTGAAATCACGTGCACTTTCTCAATAGAATATTGAAAATCCTTAAGAAATGTTGTTACCTAAGACATGCTCTGGTCCATCATTAATGAAAATCTGTTTGGCATTATTCCCTTAGGGTGAACCTGGTGTACCAGGACGTCTTGGAATGCCAGGCCTTCCTGGCCGAGCTATTGCAGGACCAAAGGTAACATTTGCACTACAAGTTTCCTAATATTTAAAAAAGTCAACATGTGAAATGTCTTCAGCATATACTGAGGAGTCTGGTGAGCTTCCATGATTGTAAACATGGCTGTAAACTTCAAGTTATTTTAGACTTATTTCAGTGTTTCATATTTTCTATTTTGTGGGGAGTAGTTCTATCCCAAAAGGCTGAGACTCACAGGGCACATCTACATGGGGCTTTTACTGCAGAGCTGACTAGTTAGCTCTGCAGTAAAATCTCAGTATCTATATACTATCTACATGAGTGTGCTTCAGTGTGGGTACTGCCTTTTGGCTAGCCCCACAGTGAAGCACCCTTATGCCCCAGTCAGTCTCTCTGCAGCATGTTGAGCCAGGCAGAAGCAGCCCTGGGCTGGCAGGCTGACCCCCAGAGCCCTCTGCCAGCCAGAGCTGCCCTGCCCTGGCTCAACCTTCTGCAGTCCTAGGCGCACGTACAAATGGAATCGCCAGGAGCAATACACTTGAGTGTGAACTACACTGGAGTTTATTTAATTGCATTAATTGTATGTGTAGATGTGCTCACAGCAACTCAGGCTACACAGCTACAGAGTGTGATACCTGAGAAAGAGTAAATCATTTTTTGTAGTCTTGGGGTGATGTAGTTGTGATGGTCTAGGAAAAAAGGGAGAGGCAAGGATTTTTGCGGGTGATATATTTTGGTGGACCAAGTGTATAGTTGGGAGGAACATTAATAATACAGTTAGTCCAATAAAAGATATCACCCACAACGATCTTTGCATCTCACAAATAATTTTGGCTTTCATGGAACTCAAACTTGCCCTTTTCCCATGGACAGTTATAGATTATAAGCAATCCAATTACTAGAGCCCTGGTGTCCGCTATTTGCTGTCTTAGTGTGTTTTTCCTTTGGTATCTGTGGGAAGAAGTTCCATATAACTTTTTCAAAATAGCAAAGAGAGCTCCCCACATTGCTAGGTTTAACTTTATAGTTAGCCTAAATAAATTTAACTTTGGTCCTCACCAGAACGCACCCAAAACTTATTTTAGCCCTACAGCTCTAACATCTTTTGTATACTGCATATCTGCATTTAAAGAAGAGAACAGAAACCAGAGACAACTATTCATGTACCTGGGAATAGAGGCTAATTTGCTTAATCTCTTCACCTACAGAGCAACCTCACAACTGCCTAGCATTTGTACAGGAGGTGAGGTTCCTTCAGTTTGGCTTTACAGACTGGCCTGGCTCTCTTTCATAAATTGACCCATTCTACAGCCACCGATTGATCAAGTGGGGTATAAGAATGTTGCACTGGGTTTCATCTGGATCACGCAATTTTCTGTCTGGCTTTCTGGGCTGAATTTTCAGGAAAGGCACTGTACCTTGTTTCCACGCTGGAGTTAAGCCAGAGGCAGGATTTTCAATAGTGATTCGGAGTACCTCAGTTTTGGGCTGCCCAATTTGAGAGCCCCTAAGGTGGCCTGACTTCCTAATTCTTGATCTTCAGTATTATCTGGCAAGCAAGTCCTTTTCAAGCAAAATTCAGGGTAGACACTCCAAAATCATTCATCGCTTTGGCAGGTATTGCAATAAACATCTATTAAAAGTATAAACCTTTCTTGGAACTGGGATATGTTCATAACTGTCTGGGAACACCTATCATGCTGCTGGTGCTATAATAATGTTTTTAAAATAATAATAATAATAATACTACTGTTTTTAAAATACTTTTTCTATTACAAGGTCATGTATCTTCTACCTAATAAGCAAAAAGCATTTGACAAGAAAATACTGACATTAAAGATTTTTACTCTGTCAATACTTTGTAATTATTTTAAATCTTAAAACCTATGTTTCTAAAATTTTCCAGGTATATTGTGAATGTGACAGATATTGAAGTAATACATTTTACATTTACATTTTGACTTAGAATCAAAACTAGGATGTATATTTTCTTAATTGTAGGGTGATATTGGGTTACCTGGTCCTGCTGGCCTAATTGGAGAACCAGGAATTGGACTTCCTGGTGCAAAGGTAAATCCCAAGCTGGCAAACTCATTAAAAAAGTGAAAGCAAAGGAAACCACAGTAAAAGCCTTGTTGGCTTTTCCATTTAGGTGAACAGTTGGTCAGTTAGGACAGGGGTGCTTAATCTCCAGCCTGTGGGTCAAATATGGCCTGCAGAGCCATCACAGCTGGCTCGTGGGGGCCCCCATGGGTAAGAAAACTTGGCGGTGGCAGAGCAGGGGCAATTCATATGGCCATCCTTCCCCCTGCCAAATTCCCAAACCCCAAGTTGTGAGTTGTAGCTGGGCTGTCCACCCTCTCCCTCCACAGTTGGGTCAGGGTGGGACCAGGCCCTCCCCCATAGCTCAGTTGGGGCCAGGCCATGTTACCTCCCCAGTGTGGGGCCAGATCAAGCCCTGTTCCTTCCCACATGGGGCCAGGTAGTTCAAGCCCCTTTCCCCTGCAGGGCCAGGTTGGGGCCAGGCTGCACCCTGCCACCCTCTGTGTGGCCAAATAGAGCCCAATCCTCCTGTCCTGGATGCCGGATTGGGACACTGGCCAGATCTGGCCCATGGATAGACAGGGCTCTGCTTATCCAGCCCACTGGGCAAAAAGGCTGAGCACTGCTGACTTAAGACATCAAAATGTTCCATAGCTGTTAGGGCAGATGAACGCATTAGGCATATGGCAGAGATTTGCAGAAGCCCTGGAGACAAACCCCAAAATGGTGTTTATTTCCCCTCATGTAACAAAACTATTTGAAAACTTGAGACCATATACCTAGTATTGAATATTTTCATTTCTCCGAATGTTGACAAAATTTTCTGAACGGTAAGTCTAAGCCAATGTAAACAGGATTTTTAAATCTTGCTATTCATGTATTACTGCCTAATAGGAATGGGCTTCATTACTTTACTCTGAACAGTTCCTAAGTATTTTAAAATACAACCATCTCTGTTTTTCCTTTGAGCCAAAGAAGAAATAAGAAGTAGTTTGTAGGTAGGGCCTGGTTTAAATCTCAGTTTTGGATTTTTCTTGAAATTTGAGTTCCCCAACAAGTGGCCATATCTATGACATTTTGTTGCAACAGTGGCAGCAGCAGTGGTGCATTGCTGGGCAGGGCTAGGTGAGCAGTGGGAGGGAAGTGCTCCCTCTGTCACCAGGGTCTCCCCAAGCCCCACTGGTTTACATGAGATAGAGGCAGCAGTGGTGGCCACCTGCCCAGCCCCACACTGTCATGGCCAGCGCTCCCAGGGTCTCCAAGGAGACTGGCCAGGAGTCCCAGACAGGGGCTGTCGGGAAGTGGAGTCCGGCCACGAGCTGGATCTGCCACTCTACCTACCCCTGTTCTATCTCCAGTATTTATATATTGATCAGCAGTTTAATTGTTCCATAGCTAGTTTCATGGTCACAGAGGGAGACACCACCTCTCTGCTAGATATGGCCAGTCGCATAGTTGTTCTCTATTTCGTGAGAAGCAGAGCGTCTGAGTGATGTGTACATACCAAACGGACAACAACCACTTCCTTTTTCTCCCACTTTGAGTTTTGTTAGAAAGTAGCTTCTTTCCTAAGTATGAACTTCAGTAGTAAAGCCAGGAAATCTTGATAGTATGGATCACTGTCAAGCTAGGTCAGAATTTGACAAAAAACAAACAGACCTTAAAATGTGGACCAGCTAGCTAGTTGGAAAGTAGATGTTACGGATAGTGGATACTTCCTATCAGTATCATCTCTGTTGTGCTTAGCTTCAGCATTAATAAGCTGCTCTTTATTCAGGTGTTACATCTAGAAAGCCAGAAGATGGCGATGTTTATATTTTATATCAGGATGATATGAAGTTGGATGTTGCCCAGATTTGTATAGTTTTTGTTTGCCTTGTGCATGTGACTCAGAGTAAAACCACCCAGTGGCACTTGCAGTTTGCAAGAATTGTTCACGCAGTAATAGAAGAGTGCAGAACATTTTAAAGTATTGTTACCCCCTTTTGCCCCAGTTTGTTCATTTTCAGCATCATGTAGCTTGTTTCCATCTAAAGGAAAAATTCAGAGTAGAATCAGATATTTATTTTTCCTATTTATTTGTAATCGTTGTAAATAAGTCTTGTTTCTCTGTATGCAGAAAGAATCAAATAGCATTACACTTTGCTCACATTTCTTAGCTCCCTTCCAGTCAGCCAGCACTTCAACCAAAAGTTTTCTTAGCTTTTTTCCCAGCTCTGTAACTGCCCTAGGCTTTCTGTTGCCTTCTTTGTCAGTTTCTTTGGTCTTCCTGCTGCTCTTAGACATTCCTGCTCTCTCTAAATAATGGCCAGCAAAACCTCTCTACTCCCACAGCTTAATTGTTGATGGGATTTGCAGGTGCCTTTTTTGAGTGATGATGTGCCTGTGTTTTGGATGGGGGCTTATAATATTTCAGGTATGTGATTCCATAAAAGAAATTAATTATTTCTTACATTTATCCCAAATATTATACCCACCAGTTTCAACAAGTTTCCATAAGACAGACAATCAAATATGAACGTGTGATTTTTAAAACAATAAAAACTAACAAGGACCTTGATGACAAAAATAGTGCCTGGAAATACGTTGAAATCATTTTTCTAAACTGATTGGATTTCAGGATGATTGTTTCAATTCAAAATATCTGTTTTATCCACAAAGCAGGCATAGCATGTGTAGTGGCAGTGGTAACTTCCTCCCACTGTTCTTTTGAAGATTGTCCACCACCATCTGCAGGTTCCATTAGGGGGGAGAATTCAGTTTTCACAAATTTCTTCATTTTCCCTGACAATTATGGTCCCACTCCTGGTAGCTGCAGTGATAATACGATGTAAGCATGTGATATGAACATGGGGGATTTGATTGGTGCTATCATTATGGATAGATCACCAAAGGAAGGAACTATGATAGCTACAGTATTCTTAGGCAAGATTTGAACTGGTGACCTCATAGTGAAAGGGCCCCATAAATCCTCAAATACATTCAATCCCCCAAATGTAGCTTCTTATAAATCAGCTATAACAGCCACTGATAAACTGGAATATACCAATAAAATCAAGTCATTTACAATATTTGGTCACCAAAGAAGTTTTATTTTCATGTAAACCTTACCTGACCATGGCTTTACAGGAATGCATTCAAACTTTTTCTGCTGTTACCAGGGTGAGAGTGGTCTCCCAGGACCCCCTGGACCAATTGGGCTAAAGGGAGATGGTTATCCAGGTCCTCCTGTAAGTATATGTAACATTTTTTAGATACTGATTGTGGACAGATAGGTACCAATCATAAAAAATTAATCTATTGGTCCAGAGGCATCTTATGGATCTTCTAGGCTCGTCAGCCTGAGACATTCATTCTAGCGTGGATGGTAAAAGAGAAATTTTCCCTCCGGGGAGCAAGAGATCCCAAGCCTTTCCAAGAAGCCAGTTCCCTCACTTATCTTGATTACTAATAGTAATGTATTACACCTGGGGTTTTATTTTATCACTGATGCTTCAAGCTGTATCTTAGTATCCTGATGTGGCAACTGGTTCTTCCCTCTCCTCTAGCAGATAGAATGCGAGCCACCTAGGGAAAACATTTTGTGATGAACTGTGGCTTTCTGATACAAGTTCTGAGCAGCAATATTTCCACTGAGAGTTGTGGAAGGCAGTGTCCCCTGGAGCTCCAAGAAAAAACAGCCCCTGCACCACCCGTAAGACTGTGCAGTGTGCACTCTCCTGAGCTGTTGGCCTGCTTTGTGGTGAAGAAGAGACAAATGCCCTCACCTGCTTTTTAGCTTCCTGACCATCCATGCACAGGATAAGGCTGACAAATGTGCTCAGCCCCTGTGATGAGAGTACAAAGAGAAGAGGCTCCTGAACCTTCTGCCTCTCTTGCATGTGCAAAAGCCATGAACAGTGCTGTGCACCTGTTATATGCAGCAACATGCAATGCAGGAACAGTCAGTTACATGACTCTAAATTACCAGTTATTGAGCAAAGCTGCTGAGTGTTTATGATGTCTAGAAGGGTCTGACAAGGTTGTGTTACCACAGACCCATGCTAAATGCAACAATAACAAGTGCATAAAAGTGCCATATTTAAAAATGCAATTAGTGTGTAAATGTGAAAATACAAATTATTTGCAATGTTTTGTATTTTTTTGTCTAATTTAATGCTGGGATCTATTGTATTTGTCTCCAAGCATGCAAGTTCCATTGACTTTGGTACATGTTTACCTGAGGGTAGAACTGAATCCGTTTGTTAAAGAAAGAGTACCCCATTAATATACATAATATATTAATATATGTCTCTTAATTAGATATGAAAGGGTTGAGCTTGTTTGCCAATATTGTGTTTATCTAGTCCATGTATCCTAAGGTTAGATTAATTGTTCGTGTATGACTTTTGATTTTAGGGACTTCCAGGTCCTCCTGGAGCTCTTGGTGAGCAAGGCCCTGAAGGAGTTGGAGTACCAGGACCTAAGGTATAGGCTATTAACTGTAGAAGAATAACCATGTAAAAAGTAAATTCTCCTTTAAATATATAGATAGTATTTCTATCCTTGTCAGTTATATGCCAAAAACAATTAGGCCTATTTATTCAAGTTTGTATTTATTCTTTAGTATCTAACAAGACTATCCATTTCCAGTCTTCTGTCATATAGGGTCATGGTATGCTTTTCCATGGCATACATTTCCTCTATTTAGACTTTCTATCCCCCTTAACATGTTACGAGTATTGCACATTAACTATTTAATTGTGCGGTTACCTTGAAACCAGCTACATATGCAAAGTATTTATCACATAATAACAAGCTCCAACCAGCTATAAAGTTAGACCTCAAAAAAAGTGCATGAACATAGCGATGTTACAAAAATGTGTGTAATAGCTGGTTGTAATCAAGCTTTAATTTCCATGTGTAGCAGGAACCAGCTGGGTCCTGGCAGCTGCAGGGTGCATCTATGATCTCCCAGTCCTGGGGCTGCGTGAAACCCTCAGAGTGGGGAGATTGCTTCTGCAGTTACCTCCCAGCCTTGTGGGATTTCATACCCCCTGAGATGGGGAAGTCATTGCAGCAGCAGCAGCAGTCTTCCTTGCCCTCCCCACTTCCCCCACCAGTAAGGCAGGGAGGTGGTCTTGTGGGTTTGCATGCCCCCATGGGGTGGGGAGATCACTGCAGCAGCCACAATCTTCTCTCACCACCCCCACAAAGGGGGAAAGTTGCCACAGCAGCGATCTCCCCACCCCCCAAAGTGGGGAGGTTGCTACAGCAGCAAACTTCTCACTCTGAGGTTTTCATGTACGCCTGGGGTGGAGAGATCACCATAGCTACATCTCCCAGCCCCAGGAGGTGTGTGGAGTGTCCCTACAGCTAGGAGCCCCTCAGTTGACAGGGGTCCCGGCCTGGAGAGCTTCCTTCTTGTCAGTGCAGGGGGAGCCTGGGATTGGGGTCCCCCTGCACCAGCAATAAGGCACAGTGGGTTCTAATGTGCAGTCCACAGTAGCATCTCTTGCCATGCACATGTGGCTTGACAGGAGGCGTGATTGTGCAAATCGCACATTAGATTGCATCTCACCTTTACTTGCATATGTAGAAGGGGTCTCTAGCTGTTCATTTAAATGTATGAAAAAAGTAGCAGAAACCAAACACACGTGGTATTCAAAGCTGCCATTTCTTTTTATGTAAATGATCTTGATAGCTTGGGGGGATGGGGTGGTAAGACCTTCTCCCAAAGAAAATCTCATGCAGCATCTATGGGGAATACCGAAAACCAAAATATTTTCCATAGTTATGGAGCATGAACACAAAGGAACTAAAAATATCTGTTAAACGTAGGGAGAGCTCTGATTCTACTCCCATTGAAGTCAATGGCAAAACTCCCACTTCTAGTTTATACTTAACAAATATGCACAGCACTGACATAAGCATGTAGGGCACATCTACACATTCATTAATGCACTGTAATTACAGTGCATTAAGTTTAGCACCTGTAATAACAGGTACTAAACCAAAGAAAGTCTTTCCATTGACTCTCTGAAAGCTGGATCCCACCCATGGTTACTCTGTAATAAGAATTCTGTAATTACAGTGTAGTTATTGTAGAATTCACCTACACAAGGTAGAGATCTTGTCTTCTGTTCTGATGAAAGACTGGACAAACCTCTTGCCAGCGCTCATCCCCAGTAATACCTTTTCTTAGACCTCCACCCTGATGTGCCTATTGTTTAGAGTTGTTCAGACTTGTGTAGTAGTGTTTAACTAATTCCCTACTTTTTTCTTTTCCCCCTTAGAGCACTGTGAATAATGGGAATAGTAAAAACAAATTACATTCTGGTATATGTTGCATATTTTTAAAAATACCAATTTTTAGGGTGATCCAGGTGTTAGAGGACAAGTTGGTCTCCCAGGTCCACCAGGAGAAGGACTTCCAGGACCAAAAGTAAGTAAATGAAACCATTTTGTCTCGCTTCATCAGCTATTTCCAATGAAAATGTTTCAATGAAAAATGTAATAGTTACATATTATATCATTCTGTTATAGTTATATACAGTTATGTGTGTATATATATTTATATACACACACACCCCTACATTGCTTTTCATCTTCATCCTACTCTAAAAACAACTATATCTATGAATAAGGATATAGACATACAGCCCAATTAATATGTGATAATTACTCCACATTTAATTTCATAATAAATGTGTTCTATAGTAAGGAGTAGACACACAACCAGATCTCCCAACCTGGCTTCCCTCAGTAAGTACTATTAGAGTTTTGGAGCAGCTGACCACTAAATACTGGGAGAATTGGTTGCACTGAGCCCCAGGATGAAACTGATTAGTAACATATATAACTAGTAACATATTATGGGCACACAACACATTCTACATAGTAGTTTTCCACATAATAATTTTCACACAATTTTTCAAGAATTTATTTTTACCTGATTTCAAGGAACTTTACCCTGACTCTATAGTAGGGCTGTTTGTTATGTGTCTAACACTTAAACTGTGTAGTAAAATCAATTTACTACCTGACATTTATGCACTTTCAAAGACGGGTAAGGAAGTCAGTGTCCCTGTTTTGAAGATCGAAAAGATGTAGCTGAGTGATTCACCCAAGTCACTTTGGTCATTTGTTTTTTTTCACTGAACATAAGAACATTTAATAATTTTGGGAATGAGGCTTATGACCAACATGTCATACCTCCTGAAGGAAGCAACTGAAAATGAAAAATAAAACCTTTTTCAAAACAAAAACTAGTGTTTGGATTAATAGCCTGGTAACATTCTCATGACCTTCTTATACCCCATGTCCTGCATCCATACCCATACTATGGAACCCTTATAGCATGAACTATATTTTTAATACAGCGCATTTTTGATATAAGGAAGACACACTGTAACTAAATACCACACACTGCCATACTGAAATAATCTTCCACTTACATTCTTATTTGCTATAATTTGTCATGTATTTTTGTTAGAGACACTGTATTTAATATGTGCATTTTTCTTCCTTTAGGGAAGTATAGGACGACCAGGGCCACCTGGTCCCCTGGGACCTCCAGGTGAAGGCGTTCAGGGAACTAAGGTATAAAAACTTACTGACTTCAGTGCTCATATAACTGAAAGGAGAACCTCACCCTCACAGTATAAAGGAACTGAGAAATAGATTGCATATTATCACTTGGTTTTCTTAAGAACTCTAATTGGCAGAGGGTCTGAAGATGAAGCATGTAAAGAGTAACCTGGACATCTACAGTAACTATCCTGTTCTCTGCTGCTATATTAACAGCAAGCTCAAGGGGATATGGATCAGGAGCCCTGAGATGGAGGGGTTCTGGTTTCAAAGGACATTAGTTTTGCAAGTGCCTAGGAAACAGAGACATCCTTTCGTATTTTCTTTCTCTGCTAAACGATTGTACTACCATGTTCAGAGTCATCCTATGAACTGTCAGGCACAGAGGAAAAAGGGTTACTCTGAGTCCATGGGTCATGCTCTTCTTCCCCTGTAACAGAATGAGAGCATGTATGAGAGAAGAGCAATAATTCAGAGCAAAGGGGTGAGAGTAAAGAGAGAGAGAGAAAGATGGAAAAAGAGAACATCAGAGAAGGAACAGTAAAGGCCAATTTTATTTTCTAATATTAAAGAATGAAAAACAATCCTGTCTGGCTGGATCATAGAACTCTTACTGACTTTCAGGTCGGTGGGATTGCTTGGATGAGCAAGGGCTCACCAGAGTGAGTAAGAGTTTCTTTAACCTCACTTTGGGCACTATGACTGCTCTCCATGCCAAGCTAGTTTGCATACCAGGTTCTGACACCCTAGAGCAGATATTCCAATGAAGCATTTTGACAGGACAGAAAAAACACTTTTTTTTTAAGATTTGACTTCTTCATGAGTTCTCTCTCCAAGTTTGAATCAGTCTTTCATTAGAGGAAGTTCAAATGGCTCTGGTGCCTGAGATACTTTTTCTTAAGGCGTAAGGAAAGGAAGCTTGTAAGTGTTCCTGAATGGAAACAAGGGAAGCTAACACAGAAGTATCTCTGCATAAAAATAGCTACATCTATAATACTAAATCCCTCAATATTCATAAAAATGTAGCTTGAAACAGTTTTTCTATGACCTTTAAACATACAACATGATGAATGATTATCAAGTGTTCATATTTCTGAATTATTGCTAGGGTGAACAAGGAATTCAGGGAATACCAGGACCACGAGGGCCTCCAGGGGAAGGATTTCTAGGACCTAAGGTACAGGACGTAAATGAGAAAACACATCTGGTGCCCAGTTCTTTTTCTGAAGTCATCATATTGGAGATATTCACTGGAGTGACCTCCCATTGGTGTTGCTTTGATATACATGTGGCATGTACATTTTTGGGGACTGTTATTGTTTCTGTTCTGTATCCCATGAAAGAATTTAGTCATAGAAGAAAGGCAGCCAATGCAGTTACCAATTTCAGCTGGTTTAAACGAGCCATAACAACAGGCCTTAGTTTATTCCAGAGGTCTTGAAGAACTGGCCCAGGGGCCAGATCCAGCCTATAGAGCCCTATCATCCAGTTTGTGGTGCTTCCTGAGGGCTACTGGACTAGCCCTGCATGCTGTATTACTCATACTGGGGCTAGAGTCAGCATGTGCATTGCATATAAAACACAGGTCAATCCAGGACATGCATTATATGTGGCACAATGGGCCGGTCTGGGGTGGGCACTGCATGCAGCATCTGTACACTGCATCCAGCCTGTGGGGGAGAATCTCTGGGCCCAGTCTGGCCTATGAACCAGTCCCACACCCCTCATGGCCTGATTAGTTTGATATTCCTGATCTATTCCATTACCTATGTGTGGTTTCAACAAGGACAGCTAGAAAAAAAGTGAAAAGTTTAAATTTAAAAGATGTGATTAACAACTAATGTTTAGTCAATGCATTGTTCAAAGGGTGATCGTGGTGCTACTGGTGAAAAAGGTAAAAAAGGAGAAAAAGGGAACCTGGGTGATCCTGGCTTGTCTGGAGAACCTGTGAGTACCTAATATTTGTCACTTAGTTAATTAAACATAGTTTATGCACCCTTCAAGAAATGGCTGTGTGTTTTCAGAAAACCAAAACTATGGAAAGTTTTTAATAAATCAACCACGAATTTCTGCTCTAAAGTCACGATTTAACTGTAGGTCAATGTAGCACACTGGGGTCCCCAGAGCAGCCATGATGCCCTCTGGTGGCTCACAACCATGCTCCACTCTGCCTCTAGGGTGTCCTCCCTTCTGTCTCACCCACCATGCTTTGATGTAATTATAGGATTCAAAGGGAGGCTGCCCACAGGCTGTAGTATAAGCCCCAGTCCAGCTAAATCCCCACTGGGGTTCCCCTGTACCTCAATGGTCTTGATGACACCCTCAGGCTTGGTGGGCCCTCTTGGCCCGACCGTGCCTCTGCAGGGCATCTATACCCTTAAGGGGTAATTGCATGGTTCTGTTCCTCCCCTACACCATGCCCCAAGCTTTGCAGGTGTCACTATTTCAAAATAGTCTCTCTGGTTGGGGCCTCTGCCCCCTTTCTCTAGTTGGGCCTTCTACCCTGGGCCCCTGGCATATTGTATCTGGCTCTGAGGCACCAGCTCTAGTCTAGCCCTGTCAGGCACCAGGCCCCTGGTCCCTGTCTGCCAGGCACCGAGCCCCTGTATGTCTGTGCCGCTCTCAGGCACTGGGCCTCTCGGCTTTGCTCTGGGCTCTGTGGCCTGCGTTCTGCCCTGCTCTGGGCTCAGTACTTGCTTGACCTTGAGCCTGCCCCTGGCAGGGCTTAAGGCAACAGCATGCCCCAGGGGCACTGTGACAGGGGGTATCTCGCTGGAGCCTTTCTGATGGTGGCTCCGCCTTCCTGTCTTGGGCTAACCGCCTGCTTACTCGCCTGCCACGCATTGATCTTAATTGATTGAGTGAGGTAATTAGAAGGAGGCTGCCCACTTTATATGCCCGGTGTCAGGGGGCGCTATCTGCGGCTCCTTTTCCTCCCCTACACCACAGCCCAAGCCTCGCAGATGGTACTTGACATGGTTTGCCCTATGCTTTGGCCCTCTTCTTTACTTCTGGGGCTCCTCACTGCCCCCTCTCGCTCCAGGGCTCCTTGCTGCCCCCTCTCGCTCTGGGACTGGGGTCAATGCACCCCCGAACACTGTGCCCTCTATGGCGCCAGGGTCCCCATGCTACCATGGGGCTCCTATGAGGCCTCCTCCAACGCCTAATAGCCTCACCCAGTCCTCCAGTAAAACAGTAAACACAAAGCACAAAGCCCATGGGCTATAATGTAAAACTAAACCATCCGGTCAAAACCGCGTTCTATCCCTACCGGGAAAATACTCCAACTCATAGCTGCAACCAGGGGATGCTTATGCAGTCTATCTTCTTCTTTCTCTCTGCACTGTCCGAGCTCCCCCCTCCTTGGCCGCCGGAGGAGAACTGCTCTCCTGGCCTCATGCTTGGGCTTAAGAAGGGGCCAAGCCCTGCCCCTTCCTGTCAGCTCATTCCCTTGGTTCCCCTAGCAACCAGCACCTGTGCTGCCCTGGTGACTGGCAGTTGAGCCTCCCCCTTCTCACCTCTAGGGGTCTCTCCTGAGCCATTTCTGCTTTTAGGTGCAGGGCACCTGAGTGCTCTGCGACAGGCACTAATGGGACCTCCGAATACTGTCCTGCACAGTGCCAAACCAAACCACTGGTTCTAAATTTCAACCAAACAATAAGTTCCCTGGTCTATAACATAAAGTCTCCACCCCTGGGCCCAGTAACATAACAAAAGGGGAAGCAGCCCTCTGCCCCTTTAAAAAGGAAAACCTTCCCTCCCTGCTGGAGTTAGAGTAACCTCCCAGCTCTTGGGTTATACCCCTGTGAGCTCCCAGAACCTCACTTGTGATCCAAGGCATCACAGCAGTCAAGCTAGTATTCCCTGGTAGCTCTCCTGGCCGGGAGCTCACACTCCTGCAGCTTGTGGGGCTAGACTGCCTTACTAGTTCAGGCCCTGGGTTTATATGCCTCCCAGGGCCCTGTCTCTCCTCTCAGAAGACTACTCTGGGCTCCCTGCTAATTAATCTCATGGACCAGTTACTATGG